GTTGTAATTGTAGTTGTAGTAGTAGTAGTTGTAGTTGTAGTAGTAGTAGTAGTAGTAGCAGCAGTAGTAGTAGTGGTAGTGGTAATGGTAGTAGTAATGGTAGTAGTAGTAGTAGTAGTAGTAGCAGTCGTAATAGTAGTCGTAGTAGTAGTCGTGTAGTAGCAGTAGCAGTAGCAGTAGCAGTAGGAGTAGTAGTAGTAGTAGTAGTAGAAGTAGTAGTAGTAGTAGTAATAATAGTAGTAGCAGTAGCAGTACCTGCTAGTACTACTTCTAGTACTGCGACTACTACTACTACTACTTCTACTCCTGCTCCTGCTTCTGCTCCTGCTGCTACTACTACTACTACTACTACTACGACTACTACTACTACTATTACTACTACTACTACTGCTAGTGCTACTACTACTACTACTACTACTACTGCTGCTACTACTACTACTACTACCACCACCACTACTCCAGCAGCTGCTGCTGCTGCTACTACTACTACTACTACTGCTACTACTACGTCTACTTCTACTACTACGACTACCACGACTACCAAGACAACCACAACGACGACGACGACTCCACTGCCTACTACTGCTGCTGCTGCTGCTGATGCTACTGCTGCTGCTACTACTACTACTCCTCCTCCTACTCCTACTACAACTACCACCGCTACTACTAGTGCTACGGTTACGGCTACTGCTGCGACGAGTACGACTCGCTACTGCTGCTTACTATTGCTGCTGCTGGTGCTGCTAATGCAACCACTGCTGCTGCTGCTAATTCAACCACTGCTACTGCTACTGCTACTGCTGCTGCTCCGGCTACTGCTACTGCTACTGCTACTGCTACTGCTACTACTGCTGCTACTACTACTACTACAACTACAACTACACTACTACTACCACTACTACTACTACTACTACTACTACTACTACACTACTACTACTACTACTACTACTACTACTACTACTACCACTACTAGTACTACTGCTGCTACTACTACTACTACTACTGCTATTGCTATTGCTACTGCTACTGCTACTGCTACTGCTACTGCTACTACTGCTGCTGCTGCTGCTGCTACTACTACTACTACTACTTCATTAGGCGACGCGACGCGGCGCTACACTACACCGACTGCTACTGCTTCTACTCCTGCTCCTGCTCCTGCTGCTGCTGCTGCTCCCGGATAAAACTTCCGCTCGTTGTTCTTCGTCTGCTTTGCTTCTGGAGCGATGGCTGCTGCTCGAACGATCCACCGGCCTGTGGTTGACACCTCCATTGGGCACAAAAACCGATCTCTTTCAGCATCAGCTACTAGCCGCTGCGTGTGCACATCCCTACTCGTCATCCAGTCTGCGGCGCACTCTGCCACCTCTGTCCCTGTCTTCCCCGAGATCCCCAACCATTGAATTGTCGGAATTGCAATCAGCTTCGGTTCATCTTCGCTAGGAAAGTCTGCTGACCGCCAGGGCAGAACAGCGAGTGAAATCACGTGCCAGTTGCAGCACACAACTCCACGACCACTGCGCGACGACCATCACCACCAATGCCGTTGGCACTCTACGACAACCACAGCTGTGGGCTCCGACGACTAACCAGTGGTCAAGCTGGCATCAAGACCTGACTACCAACTACATCGGAGACTTCAGTTTGAAGTGGCCCTTTATGCAACTCACCATGCGTCTGGCATGGCTGCACTTTCGGAAGGGTGGCAAATAAACTTGCCATTGAGGTGCGACTCGGAGCCATCAGAGTAGTCAGGATTGGAGGGGTCGCCGACATCGTCGCCTGAGTACTCTTGCAAGCCTTTGCCGGCCGTGTGAGTCGCTTCCAGCACAACCCGTGGCACAAAGAGAGAATCAAGGAGCCCGAACCATCTTGCAAGTTCGCTGTCTTCTGCCTCTGAGTGGCTGTAGAATCCATAAGTCTCGGCCATGTAGCCCATAGTCTCCACCTCATGACCGTGAGATTTCAAGACTGTTGGGCTGTCACTTGTCGCTACAAGATTGAACCTGCCTCTCTCGTAGTCCCAATGGCTTCAAATGATGCTGATAGTCCACAACTGTCAGAACCTGTTCATAAGATTAATGGGGAGAATTCTGTACTCTGTTACTACTAACTGCAATGTGGAGCACCTTTGGGAGGGCTTGCCGGCCAAGGACTCATTCTGCATTTCTTTGGGGCGGGGCGACCCCCACACCAATCAGCGCTCAACAAAAGAAATTAGAGTACCCAAACACCAAGCAATGTGTATTGAACTCCAAACACGATGCTGGCCAAGGGGCTGCACACCGAGACGTTTTGCATCGCTCCAGGGCAATCTTCGTGAGCTCCTCACGAATGCTGCTGCACTGGCTCCACACGATGAACCCTGCCGGGCAGACGTTGCGCACTTGGGGGATCTCGCCCACCTAACTCTAACAACGCGCATGTTCTGTTCTTCTGGAGGCGTCTGAGTCCGACTAGCCAAGATATGATATGCGCTACATGAACTTTGCGGCTCCTCGATGCCAAAGAGGCAATTGCCTGCTGCATGTTTGGTTTTGGGCAGGAAACACACTCTTTGGGAGTGATTTGCAAGATGTCCCCGTGAGATAGCAAACAGCCTACAGCACGTGACATTTAGATTCAGCGGCAAGAGGACAAAGCACAAGAAGGGTTTCTCTAGGCCGCCCATGCAATGTCACAAATGAAATTTGGAACAGTGGAAATGGAGCTCTGGACTTGTCAGCCTGGCCTTGTGGTTTGCTTGCAGGCCAACCAACAGTTCGAGCGGAGCTGGTGCTCTCCTCAGAACGGCTTTACTGCGAAACTCAGCACAAGCTAAGTCCACCTGCAATCTACTGATCTGCTTGTATCATCTGTGTGGTCCAAGGCAAAAAGCTCATCCGGCTTGACGACTACGCTGACTTCTGAAGCATCGGCTACACCTACATGCCCGCAGCAACCTACATGCCCGCAGCACGCGGCACATTTGAGTGAAATGCTTCTCCAGGTCACTCCGATTGAAAGGCCCCACTCATTTTGCACACCGTAGTTCGTGTCCCAGTACGCCCATGTTTCCTTGGCTGCAAGCCTCTCATGGAGCGTGACCTGTACATGCTGGAACGACGCCCGAAACTCCCCATGCTCATCGAGCGCCAGGCAAAACATGATGAATTCCTGTCGAGGCACGGGAACCTGCGGAACAAATCCCAAAGGATGAGTGTCCTGCATGATCTGTGCGTGTAAATCAAGTTATGAGACCGAACAGGACGAGATGTGGCCACCAGCTTCACCCAAACCGCGAAGCTGGTCTCCTTCTGATCACCAACCGCTGCATACTCTGGAGATCGCTCCTGAAGTGTTCTGGGTGCTTCGCACGGAACTCGAACCGCGCTCTGTCACAATGGATCCCACCACCGGGAATGCACGCTTGTCGGAACCTAAAGGTATGCCTTGCGAAAGGTAGGTTTCTGCAAGTAGGTATACAAGAAAGTCTACATGTACTTTACATCTTGTGGTTCGCGATTTTCGATGTTAAATATCCTTGCATTTAAAATTTACGCGTCTTTATCTAAGTTTTGCACTTCTTGCCTTGATTTCAGGAAGGGTCGATGAAGAGAAGATATTTCTCTTCTAACTTGCCATGTGGCATGGATGATACTGGACCTGTTGGAGTTGCGAACGGGTTTCGAAGTCTGAGCCACCGAAGATTTCATAATGCGGAACGCGGCACAGCATGATCCCACCCTCGAGTTATACTACCTGCTCGACGCACTATACCGCTCTGCCCTTTCCCCGGCCCTCCACCCCGACTGCTCACCCCCCCCCCCCCCCCCAGTGCTCGTCCCTTCCCGGTCTCCCCCAAACCCTACGCCGATCGACTTCGGTGAAGAAAACGCAAGACCTCCCAAAGCTGCTCAGGCTTGTCTCATGCACTTTATTGAATCGATGTGCGATCTAAATGAGCAAGCATGCATGCATGCTGATCTGCCAACTCAACAAAACGCGACACCCGCCGTCGCAGGAGCTGCAAGAGAGAGATGAACACAACCGCTAAAGAATCATTAGCAACCCATAAACCGAGAAATCACCGAAACGCAAAGGCACACATAAATCCACAGAAAGAATGATTGGAGATCATGGCTTCCGTCGCACGGCCCAAATCCAGAGCTTCGTGACGGCAGCTAGCACTCCTTACATCCTGAACTGTTGGCATCATGCGGACAGGACACCGAGCTCACAAGGCGTGGGTAGCCAATCTCAGTGTCAAATGGTATGGTCGAGCTCAATGGCGGAACTATGCGGATTTGCCACTGCCAATTTAGAGTGACGAGTAGTGAAAGAGTGCGCCAATATGAAGTAAATGTCATCCGGGCGATTGCAAAGCCAGCGTGTGTTCCGGGACCCCGGGACTGGAAAAAGACTAGCAGGTTGTATAGCTACTGGTAACATTCGACTTGAGACTTGCAGCCAAGCTGCTTGCCAAAAGTAAACTGGTCGCTTACTGCCCTCTGGCCATCGCTGGCGTGGCACACGAATCAGGCGGATATCGTTGGTGGAGCTGCCAGCATCATCTGAATGGCCTTTGGACATGCAGGCGCAGCGCCGATGGAGTTGCACCCCTTACCAACCCTTGCTTGCGCTGACCAATATTGAATTAGTCCTGCCTATCATCGGTGCCCCCGATGCGCTGGCAGCACGGCCAACGGCGATGATGGTGCAAGCATTGGCCGACACGAGCAGGCCCAGAACAGCCCAAAAGGACTGGATCATTGCAGCCATGGCTGGAAAGAACAAAGTAGGTGGGTCAGTATGGCCGGGAAGACTACAAGCGAAGGCTTTCCTCGGTTACGACGCCCAAGACATCCAATGAAGAATGCAGCTCAAAGCCTGAAGATATCGCAGTCACAGGTCATGAGCAGACTTTGATGGCGCAATGCCAGCTTGAGCACACGAGGAATGCAGCAACACGCCATCTGCCAGACGAGAGAGCTCTGTCAGAAGGTAGGGCGATGGACTTGAGTCAGCGATTTCGCGTCCTGAACCGTGTGCTTAGTTTCCAGAACCATCTAGCAGGTTCTTCAGAAGAGCAACCGCAGGAGGCCTTTGCAAAGCTTCTCAACTACTGTTTGCTTGACTGCTGTGCTCTGTGTCTTGTCCATGCCAGTTAAGTCGCTAGCAGATTGACAGTGTCGTTTCGCAGTCATGCTGGGCATTCTCCTACTAGAGTAGGACCCCCAAACGGTTGGAAGCAGCGGCAGTCATCGCGTCTTACTGAAGACAAATGAAGCTCGAGAGTTGCGAGACCATGCGCGTGAATCTACGACTCGCGATTGAGTCAGTGCCCGCAACTCGAGCCACATCCATGCTCTGAGAAACGAGCCATGCTGCTCCTCGGCACAGAAAGAGTTTCTCAGCAGGCTTACCTCTCTGTCACATGCTCCGCGAAGATGCAAGGACGGGCTGCCAAGGGCCATGCACAATAGCTTTGCCATCTCTCGTTCAGTTCTCTGGCACTGCTCTGAAGAGACTTGACCTGCAAGGTCTTAGCTTCCCAGACTCAGAAACTTCCGCAACCCATTTTAGTGCAAGCACTCACCACCCCAAGTCGCGACCAGCAAAGCACAGTGTTCAAAGCCAGCTGCATCATCGGCCAAGTGCATGCAGTAGTTCGGCAATCTTGCATCACCATGAAGCATCCGTTTTAGCCAGCAGTTTGCATAGCTCCGCACGACGCTAGGCTCTGTCGGAAATTGAAAATTCTAGCAGATAGCTCTCGCACTCTCAGTACAGCACCTCGCTAGCACGGAGGTCAAAGCGAAAACAAGTGCAAAAGGCGAGCCGTCACTTCGTGATTGCCCATGGACTCGAGTGATGCATCAGCCTGCTTTCTCACCGGCCTAGGCAGCCTAAATCCCCGTGGTTCATCGGCATTCTCGGGGCTTCTGCACCTCACTATCATGCGTGTAAAAAGTGTCGAGTTTCAGGGGGGATTTATGGCGGCGGGGCCGGACCGGTGCCTCCGCAACTTAGCTGCTTCGGCTCTCGCCTACCTTCAATTGTCCGCTCACGCAGTTGGCAGCACCGACACAGCTTGCTGGAGATTGCTGAGCGTTTCATCGAAGGTCGCAGGAACAGGAGAATCGTTGATGTGTGTCACGCGCCAGCCGATCTTCACCTCCTTCTTCTCAGCGAGCATGCCGGGCTTCAAGCGCTTGGCCGTGAGTGGCAAACTTCGGCTGAAGTCGATGCCCAAAGGCTTGTTCTCGAACTCAACGTCCTGTGTTCCACCATCTGGCAGCACAAAGCGGAGCACAACCCGCTTCTTCAAAGGCTCGACTGTCTCTTCTGTTATTGGACCTTTGTCGGACTTCTCAGCTTCTTCCTCAGGAGAGCGCAGCTCAGGGCTGGGTGGCGGAGCAGTGCCGGTGGCCACGGCAACCTCTGGCTTCTCCGAAGATGTGCTCGATGCGCAGCAGCTCCCTGCATTTCCCATGGCTGGGGCAGCGACGAGGGGAGTGGTGTTGTCGCAGAGGTTTGCTGAACAATCACAGCTGCAGCCGGCATACATTCACCGAGGTCTTTGTCACAGAGCTCCATCGAACAAAACATCAAGACGAATCAGGATGGCGCTGAACATCATCCTGATATTTGGCTCTCTTTGCGGCATAAACACCCATAACATCGAAAGACACAGTGATCATTTGTGATGGCTGGAATGGCTGGAAAGTTTTTCCGGTGTCTTACACGTTGTCAACTACCGGTCGTTGTACAAGACGAAAGCTGCAAACCTGGCTTGGAATAAACTGGAGACGGGCCTGACCTAGCTGGTTTCTGTGCAGCACAGTTGCAACATGTCTTGCGCCTGCACTACCCTGCAGCTTCAGAGAAAGCAAGGAAGAGTGAGACAAGGAGACCAAGGCGGAGAGAGCCAGAGATGACGAAATGAGCAGTCAGAGTGAGAGTGAGGGCGAGAATACGGTTTCGAGTGATTGATAGAATCACAACATATGGTAGGGAGGCGGGGCGAGAGACAGGAAGAGACTGAGGGACAGGGATCGAAAGATGGGAGAACAAGTAGACATAAAAGAATGCGAGAAATCACAAGTTGAAACTGACAAAGGAAGACGGCGGACGCTGCATGAGCGAGTGCTGGATGAGATAAGGTGATCACATCCAGGCCTTTTGCACCAGTCTTTGATGCTCCTCATCGCCTGCGTTGCTGATGCGTCACGTATTAGCACATACACGCATGCATACATCCATCCATCCATGCATCCATCCAATCACTCATGCATGCATACAGGGTCGGTCGTATGTATGTTTGTGTGTGTGTGTGTATGTGCGCATGCGTAAACGGTACTGCATACTTCTATGCGCATGTATATGTCTCTATATATGCACACACGCACACACACACACATATATATATATGTGTGTGTGTGTGAGCACATGTGTGTATATGTACGTATGTATGCCCATGCAAGTCTGTGTGTGTGCACATGTGCTTAGATCTGTAAACACTATACATATGTTATATGTACATGAGAGAGATGCCTTTTGGGGTCTTTTTGACGCCTAAATTGAGCTTGTGTACCTGATGTAATAATCTTATAACCTAAAAATCACATAATTCATGGAAAGGTTTTATTAAGGGAACAAAGCCAGCAGTAAAACTAGTTCCGTTCCCAAATAATTCAATACTGGTCTCTTCTTTCTTTAAGGGGCTTCTGAAAGGCTCTAATTCCTTGCGAGCAGTTACCTAAATGACTCCAGTCCCTTTTGAGCGGTGTGCTCCTTCCTGTTTCTCAAATACTCCTGTCGCTGTCGAGCGGCTTGCTGCTGTATACCAAATACTCCAGCCCCTTGTTTGATCGGTTGTACTGAAGTCCCTCTCGAGCGGTTTGCCCCTGGTTCTCAACACGAAACGCTCAGCAATGCTCAACCCCTTGATTGGTGACTTTAACTGACATTAACTGACTTCACACCAAATCAGCAAAGAAAATACTTCTTGGACAATTCATGCTCAGGCCAAATGCGCGTTGTGTAATGAAAGGATCTTCCCGACCTCCCAACCTGAAGCCCCACTGTGGACCTTTGTGCCGTCTGGAATCTGAGCTTGAGGAGGACCGTGCACGCCGCCGTGCCCTTCGGGAAAATGCAGGATTGCAGTGTGGTCTTTTGCGAGAATGGTAAGCAAACCAATGCATGAGAAAAGGGCCTGTGCTTAGACTCGGGCCGTGCGCGCCTTCCCTTAGCAGAGGGCGAATTGCAGTGGGGTGAAGTCTGCTCTGTATCCCGCGACCATACTTTTTGGACTAGAGGAAAGCATTGACGATAAAAGCGGTGGCGAAATAGCGCCAAGGAGCACGACAGAAGTGGCGCCTGTGCATGCAAGCAGCTGGGACCCTTACAGACCGTGATGGCGAGAAAAGGCGCAGCCCCTCCTGTAGCAAGAACCCTTGTGATGAAGGCTTCGACATGTCGAAAGCATCGCTCGGCACAGCCGGACTTAAATGGAGTCATTGTGCTGATGGCAGCTATGTCTACATGATACCCGAACCCAACTTGCGTCACAATTCCATTGAGTCTCGTTGCACGGCAGGCCTTGAGCCGTACGAACTGCACAGCCTCGCCTTTCAGCAAGATTTGTGTTGCCACGGGCGCTTAATTGAAGTCAAAGATGGGCCACGTCTGCGTTTGAGTGAGATGTGGCTATGACTCCCGTTGAACCATGTGGACGCTCGATGGTGCCCCAGGTTTGCAGCCCGCGCAGGCGCGCACGTGCCATCCATCATGTTTAGACTGGGTTTCATGCACACAAAGTAATCCCCACGTGAGGCATTGCATGCCAGAAACCTGGTGCACAGATTCAGGAAGGGGGTGGCAACAAAGCATGCCTTAATTGCCGGCCGCGCTGGTCTGTTGCTGTTGCATGCCACTGTGTCAGGAAAATTGGGTGCCCCTGCCCAGGCCGAATTGAAACTAAATTGGTGGGGTGTTGAGCATATGTGCCTGAGTATGCATGCTTCAGTCCCTCACTGTCTTACCTCTTCGTAGTAACTTAGTACGTGGAAAGCTTGAAGCTCTGCTTGGTGTATGCATGCAAACAGATGCCTCACACGCGCTCAGTTGTGTGTCCCGCCTTTTCACTCCTCCTTCTAGGCCCGCCCCTCTGGTGGCTGAGGCTGCTCAGCTTCGGGTTTCCTCCCTTCATGGACCCTATTTTCGTTACAGTACTAGTATCTCTCAATCGGAGTTCCCCCCTCTCCTCATGTAGCATACTGCGTCCCCTACTGGGCCACCTCTCTGGCGAAGCATTTTTGGCAGGTATTGGCCGTTTTCGGTTCGGACTTTGAGGGTGGTGACATGAAGGACATCCTCCTAGAAGGGCTTACCTGCGAGCTGCTCCAAATTCTTGCGTTCCTTTGGTCTCTCTCTGTCTTTCTTTTGGCAGCCCTAGACCTAGACGAAGCCCCGGGCAGGGGGGGGGGGGGCCTCTTGATCCGCTGAAACCATCCCCGCTTGTCCCAGCGTGCGCCTTTAACCCAACCTGAACGCCTGACGCTTCGCCTGAGCCCGAACCAAACGAACCAAACCGAACCTTGCACAGCACTGCCTCTTACCTGAACCCCCGCTCTGAACCTGAAGCAAGGAGCAGCTGCTACAGTCAAGACAGTAGCCGACTCGCTCACTCACTCGCTCTTTTCTTTCGCCAGGGCGGTGGTGAGACTCTCCCTGTGTCTCTCACTCTGCTTAAGCCAGGCAAAAGGCTTCCTGTGTGCTGAATCGTGCGCATGACTGCAACGTGACTGGGGCAATTGCCGTCTCCTCGCCTCAAGCTGACTCGATTCTCACCTGGTTGCACGGGCATTCCACGTTTGGCATAGCCGAGAATCGTTGAATTTTGGTCAGGGTCCCACAAGCGCCAACATTACATTCACGGTCTGGAATCGTGGGAGCCGGCCATGTGCTGGCAAGACATGCTTTGAGAGGAACATGCCGCTACACAACAGCTCAACAGTTTTCAATTTTTGTTCATGCTAGCTTTCCGGCAGCATAAGATGCATGGGCAACTCGCCTTCTAATGCAAGGTCGTAAACAGCTTCACCTCGGGCTCCGCTTCGCCCGCGTGCCTCAGCCAGCTGCAATCACAGCATGCATGCAGTTGCCTGTCAGATCCAGAGCATTCGCTGTAAACCTGCAGTTGGATCGACCAGCTGGGACTGAAGCATAGGCTGTCCATGAAATCAGCACCTCTGCAGTCGAGTGATTCCGCGAAAGCACCTCCCAGATGTGAGGTTTTCGAAAGCACCACCGCTGCGTCAGACTGCAAGTCTCCGATTACAGCTGTGCTCATGCGGTACGATGCACATCAGACAGGCTGGACTTGACGTTCGCAATCGTGCACAAATTCAGACCTAGGAAAGGACGCATGCTCGGGGAAACCACAAGCCAGATCCCTAGCCTAGACGGAAAAAGCCTTGCAGTCTGCTCTTCTCGACCTTCACACATCGATCCAAACCCCCAGACCGAGCCATCGCGGGTCCACTGGCCGGCTGTTCCTCCAGTTCAAGACCTGTGGCCGAGAAAAAAGACCGGACTGACTCATTCTGAATGTCCAACCTATGCTCGAAGAAGCCCTTCTTGCATGGGGCCGCCACAGTCATCAACCTCCTGGATGCGGATAGTCCTGCTTCGCGGCTGTTTCTCATCCGAGTTCGACAAGGACATCTGCGAAATCTTGTTTTGCATCTAGCCTGCTACTGCTCCTGCTGGGGACCAATGGAGGCTCAAAGCAAAGCTTCAAGCCGTGCCATGCATCAGAACGGAGGAGGATGGCTCCGAGCCTGTCACCTCTCGCTTCTTGCCAGTCGCCGCCTGGCAGTGGCAAGCGATACATGTTGCTTCCAGGCATTCCTTTTCACTTGGCCCTAGACTACGGCTACAGGCTGCCGGGGATTTTTTGTTCAGCTACACTTTTAAAAGTGCTTGCGCTGGCTGCTACTGCATCTGGCCACGGCTTCCGCGAAAAGAAGCCACTACAATGCAACCTGCGCATTGCCACAGCGGAACTGATCGAGATTCCCGCGGATGATGTCCGACATCTTCGGCGGGACATACTTCCGTCCACCTTTGATGATTGAATCTAGTGGTGCAACGCAAGCTCAAGCTGCATTCCACCGTTACAAATAAAAAATCTACGGCTTCTGCTACTTGGGTATCTTTTTGCTGGGTGCGAGAATTCCTGAGCTCGGCACCCAAAATTCCATCGCTGTGCATCCCCATGGCCTTGTGAACTCATGGGAGTGTTGAAGGGAGTAATGAGAGTGCGCTGCTTGTGAAATTTCCATGAGCATGCGGCACCATGCGGCACCTGCGGTATAGGGTTGTTGGTCGCCAAGCAGTTCAATCTATACGGTGCTTGCAAGGACGCCGGGTTGCCACGTGCATAGAATCTTAGAAACAAGAACAGTCAAAACAACAGTGGAGTGGCAACTCACCGGCAACGACGCGATCCATTCTCATTCGTAGCCGGCCTTTACGGCCTGTAGCATGCCGTCTCAGAGGCTAATGCCTTCTGCTTCGCTTCTGCATGCTGGTGCGCGCTTACGGTCGAGGCAGCACACTTAACGAAGAAGCACGCTGCCGAAGCAGCATGCACTAATGGTGCGAAATCCATGGAGCAGTCTCAACATCCCAAGCTATGCAGTTCTGACAGGTTTGACAGAAGCTGAGACGGCACGCTTAAGCGAAGCAGCACACATCCGAAGCAGCATGGTAACGGACACCTATGACTCATATGAGCAACTACACGAATGCTGGTGACTAAGCGTGGCACAGAGCCAGCAAGCAAGACAGCTCCATCAGGGACGGATCGGCAAACGCATCTCAATTCTGTTCCACCAGCAGTCGGCTGTCGATTGCGGGCATGTCACATGGCATCTGCTTAGATAACTTTTGTAGCTTGCAGGCTGTCCAATTCAATTCCCGCGTCTTGACGACGAAGTGTGAAGAGTTGACCTCTGCTGCGGCACGTGACTGCCAGTGCTAACCTGCAGTGCTCTTGAGATGTTCAACTGCTCGGCCAGCTGCAGCTGGCACCGTCTACGTTGTCTACATAGTCTGCATCGCTAAAGTTGTGGACGTTGAACTAGGGCAGCCGGCATCTGGGATCTCCACGAGTCCTTGCCTACTGGGCACAGCCAACATGCCCGCGGTTGATCGAGGAACCTGCAAAGAATGCTTATCGCCAAAGTAAGCACACATCCAGACACGCAGTAGAGGCGCTAGCACGCTGCATCTACCATGCCTGTTTCCTTGATCCACCATTTTCAATCCTCATCCCTATGCAGTCTCTTCAAGCATTTTACCACGGGAGGGCACCCTGTCGCACGACAGAAACGTGAAAACCGTCCTGACCTTTGCCAGCGACCGGGTACGCGAATATCCGACATCCTGGTCACAATACAGGACGGGGCGGTCCCTGGTCTCGTAGTGCGACAGTTCGCCTCCACTTCAGATTCAGATGTGTTATTTTCTCGTCTGGTCAAATACGACAGCATCGAAGTCTGCATCAGAACTGTGTGCAGCGTGTGTGAGTGATCTTCAGTAACTAGCTGGAGAGGCTTTCGCACTCATTTGCAAAACATTCTGCTCAAAGTCGGATAATGTTGCCCGCGCTTGTGCTGTAGCAACCACCACACGAAGTTTTCAGTACGTTCAGATTGTTGTTGCAGCTTCCCGGGAGTTGAGAGCTCGGGAGGCATACCAGAATGAAGGTCTGAACTCATGTTCCACTTTATTGAAGACAGATATTAATTCAGTGCACACAGTGCACAAGCCCAGACTTGCCAAAATGCCACAAACCGCAAACCACCGCATGAAACTCTATCTAATGGACTCGTTCATCTAGAAGCTTTGGCGGAGGGCGTGGCTCTGCTGAAGCTTTCTTGATCCAAGGCGATCCCGAGAATTCAGGACCAGCGAAAGGTCCAGCTTAATCAATCACGAGCATGCCTCCCCGCCACGTGATAGCCCATCCCCAACCCGTTGTGGTGGCATCACCGGTGCTACCACTTCAACTACGACCACAACGACGACTACCACCACCACTACCACAACCACTGCTGCTGCCGCTGCTGCTACTACTACTACCACCACCACCACCACCACCACCGCCACTACCACCTATCACCACCTCTTACCACCAGCACCACGCCAACTGTCGCTGCGGCAAACCGGCAAACACTGCCATCCTGACACCCCTGTCCCCCCTTCAGTCCGCATCCAACTCCGGCCCTCTTTTCCCGCAGCGTCTCTGCAGCGAGTGAAAGAGCCAGGCCGGCAAATGCCCACGCTGGCTTACCACATCTTGCAGTGTGTCAGCACATGGAAAGTTTTTGAAAGAGTTGCCTAGTAGCCACCGACGGACAACTCCACACAACATACACTTAGTCCGATGTACAAGTACATCTTGATTTGTGGTCAAGAGGGTATGCATTTATGTGGAGGCAATGAGACAGTCGTCTGAGTTCACTACTCGGGGACTTGACTAAATGCATAGAGAAGATCTCACTGCGCGTGTTGCAGACGTGCTGCCGTTTGAGACTCACGCCGTGGCACCACACGTGCTAACCTGAGGCAGATGCACAGCGACAATCAGACTTGGGTTGTGCAGACTCCCAGTCAGAATCCTAGCATGCACATGATGCAAGGACGTGATCTGACTCAGCTCCAGGCATAGAAAGGCGATTTGCTGGAAGGGGTTACTGTGCCTGAACCATCCTTACACTGGCAGCCTGTCGGCACATCTGGCCCAGTAGACAGATCCGGGCAGGCCACGGGCTCGCAGGTGCCACAGAAGTACGGGGCCACCTGACTCGACAAGACATCCTAGTGGGCCTACTCACGGTGTTTATACTGCTTTTGAACAGTTCCCCGAGGCCTGGGTGGCAGTGATGGTTCCACTGTAGCCCGGGTTGCACTTGCAGCCGCTGCTCAAGTCCAGGCCATCCGAGTTCTCGGGGCATGCCTCTGCCACGCAGCTCCCGGTGTAGAACGGCTCTTGTGTGCTGGCCTGCCAAGACAACACTCTGCCTGCACTAGATCACTAGGCGAACGGGGACCACAAGTCCATTAAGCATGTTGTGCTCCTGCCTGGATGTTGCCACTGAAGCCAGGGTGGCATTTGCAGCCGCTCGCGATCCCCTGGCCCATCGAGTCCGCCGGGCAGGGCACCTCCTTGCACATGTTCAAGTAGAATGGCGCATCACTGGTAGCTGACACACTGCCTGTGTAGCCAGCATTGCACTGGCAGCCTGTAGGCACGTTTTTCCCGAAGGAATTGGCTGGGCATGAAACTGGGGCACAGTCGTTGAGGTAGAAGGGCGCAGATGGTAAAGGAGTCACTGAACCACTAAATCCTTCCTCACATGTGCATCCTTCTGGAACGCTTTTGCCCTTGGAATTCGCTGGGCAGGGAACCGCCGTACAGGAGCCGGTGAAAAAGAAAGGGGCTTTACTGGAAGCCACAATCTTTCCTCTATAGCCATCTTCGCATTTGCAACCGGTTGGAACATCCAGGCCCTTGGAGTGCGCAGGACAAGTCACTGGCTGGCAAGCACCCTCGAAATACGGTGAATCTGCTTTGGCCACAATCTTGCCTGAAAAGCCAGCATTGCAGGCACAACCCTCCGGCACGTTCTGGCCAGAGGAATCCTTGGGGCAAGCAACCGGCTCACAGCTGCTGAGATAGAATGGTGCGTCTGCACTCGCGAGCACGCTGCCAGTGAACCCGGGCTTGCAAGAACAGCCATCAGGCACATTCTTGCCGACAGAGTTCGCCGGACATGCTACCGGCTCACAGGTGCTCTTGTAGAAAGGTGCAGTGCTGATTGCTTGAACAGCACCGCTGTAGCCCTCGTTGCAAGTGCAGCCAGAAGTGACATCCACTCCGGCGGAGTTGGCCGGACAATTCACAGGCACGCAGCTTCCCTCGAAGTAGGGAGCCTCGGAGGACTTAGAGATCTTTCCACTAAAACCAGCCTTGCAGGTGCACCCTTCGGAGACCGACCGTCCTTCAGAATTGTCGGGACACTCCACGGAAACGCATCTGCCATCGAAGAATGGCGAATCTCTGGAAGCGTCAATGCTGCCGCTGTAGCCGGCTCTGCATGTGCAGCCGCTCGGTACATCAGCTCCTGTTGAATCTGAAGGACATGAAACGGGCAAACAGCTGCCGGAAAAGAATGGAGCAATAGAGGTTGCAAGGATGGTGCCGTTGTACCCTGCGTCGCACGCACACCCTTCACTGACACTATTTCCTGTAGAGTGTGGTGGACAGGTCACCTTCTGACACTGGCCACTATAGAATGGCTCTAGCGGAGCAGGCTCAATCTTGCCTGCAAACCCTTTCCTGCAGGTGCAGCTTGCTGGCACATCAGTACCGTCAGAGTTGGCTGGGCAGGCCACTGGCCAACAGGACCCCTCAAAGTAGGGTGCTTTCATGGATGCTGTGATGGCACCACTATGACCAGGGTTGCACTTGCAGCCGCTGGCCACGTTCTTTCCGTTTGACTTGACCGGGCAAGGTTCTGCGGTGCAGTTGCCCTCATAGAACGGTGATTGGGAAGTTGCTACGATGGAGCCGCTGAAGCCTGCAGCGCAAGTGCATCCGCTCGGGACGTTAGATCCAACAGAGTTTGCAGGACAGGCTGCCGCCAAGCACGCACCCTTGTAGTACGGAGCCTCCGATATCGCCACGATCTCGCCCGTGTAGCCAGGCTTGCATGTGCATCCACTGGCAACATCCGTGCCCTCGGAGTTAGCAGGGCACCCCACAGCAACGCAGTTGCTTTGGTAAAAGGGCTCCTTGGAAGAAGCCACAACGGAGCCAGCAAAGCCTTTTGCGCAAGCACAGCCGTCGACCACACTGCGGCCTTCGGAGTTTGCTGGGCAAGCTACGGCCTGAGGTACTCCTGTAATAAGGCTCCTCTGTTGTCGCCTCGACGGTACCACTCTCCCCTGGTGAGCAGATGCATCCTGATGGCAGGGAGCATCCCTCAGAACCTGCGGGGCATGCAATCGCCTCGCAAGTGCTCATGTACCATGGAGGTTGCTGTGATGCTACCACTGCACCCTTGTACCCTGCACTGCAGCTACATCCATCGCTAACGCTGCTGCCGGAAGAATGGCTGGGGCACGCTACTTCCTTGCATTCTCCAGTATAAAATGGAGCCTGACTGGTAGGCGAAATCTCTCCACTGTATCCAGCCTGGCACTTGCAGCCAAACGCATGGGTGTTCGTGGTCCTGCTGTTCTCGGGACACTGTACGAGCTTGCACGTGCTGATGTAGAAGGGTGCCTTTGTGCTCGGCTCCACGGTCCCTTCGAAGCCTGGGAGGCAGGAGCATCCTGTGGGAACGTCTGTGCCTGTTGAGTTTGCAGGGCAAGCGGCCGGCACGCAACTCCCTTTGTAGAAAGGGGCCTCCTTGATGGCCTCTATGGATCCACTGTAGCCGGGTTTGCATGAGCAGCCGCTGGCGAGATCTTCACCCTCCGCATTGTCAGGGCAACCCTCAGCGGTGCAAACACCTTCGAAGAAAGGGGCAGCTTTCAAAGCCATGATTCGTCCACTGTAGCCAGCATTGCACTTACATCCCACTGCAACATTGTCTCCCTTCGAGAACTCCGGGCATTGCACGGCTTGACCTCGGCACCGGTCACAGCATGACAACCGTCGCGGCGGTCTCACCGAACTCACCACATTTTGTCGTCGGTTCTTTCATTATCCCCTTCAGCTTGCTGCCAGTGCAACAAGGCGCATCACCTTATTTTAAGGCAAGAGGCAGCCACCGCTGTAGAAGGGTGATGTGGAAGCGGCGGCGATGGTCCCAGTCTTAGGGTGCGTCTGTAGAACATGACGCATGTCAGTTCGCATTGCTCCAGCGGTCTGCAAATCTAAAGCAATCCTTCGAAACTACTTCTGACTGGATCTTTCAGTCGAACACATTGGTGAAAATCGCACTTCTGCAGCACATTAACTGTCACAGCACGATTACTTCTTCCTAGCGCACTGTGTCGTGTTTGTGGAGACGGGTCTACCAGCAGAATTCACGTGCAACCTGTCTGGCCTTGCCGGGCGAACAATTCGATGCTGTGCAGGCCATGTCGTAAACTCATCCAAGATGCAAAGCCAGCCTTGCAGCTGCAGCCCGTCGTCACCAGCGAGCCCTTCCAACAAACAGTGAATGGAAAAACAAGACACGCCGAAACTGAACTCTGTATCTCTCATGTTTGCACAAGGGCACAAGTTAAAGGTCATGATGCTGAGACAGGTATGCGCCAGTGAGCTTGCACATCTGCATCTATGACATGGGTTACAGCACATGCTGCCGCAGACACAATGCATGAGCATGAGCCCATGGTGCTGCTACTAGTAGCTTGGGACACGGACAGATGACTAGCAGCAGTCAAATGTCCGGAAGATACTGTACAGACTCGAGGGGCCGAGGTACGAAGACAAAGGGGTGGAGACTGCGACAGTCTGCACCTCGCCTCGCTATGCTGAGGACAGGCCACGGCCCTGCAGGAGTTTTTCAGGCCGCCGACAACTGCCTCGACCTGCACCGACATGCGTTTGTATGTCTGCATGGCAAACTAGTCACGTCTGAGTTACTGATTTTTCCTTCTTGACTTGTACATACATGCAATCCGAGCGCGATGATGTCTTGTCAAGCAGCCCCTTCGAAACAGCAATAACCGCTGAAGCAAAAGTGAACCTCCTCAATTGGTCGAAGAAAGGTATGAGACTTGAGAAGAACACTCTGCCCACCTTGCCAGCATAGCCCGGGTCACAAACGCAGCCTTCGGGCACCGAGTTGCCCTTCGAATGTACCGGACAGGCCAAGGACTTGCAGGTGCTTCTATAAAACGGAGCCCCTGAGGTCGCCCAAACCTCACCGACCATGCCGGGTAGGCAGGTGCAGCCATCGGGCACATTCGTGCCAGAGGAATCAGATGGGCATGGAACTGCTTTGCACGTCCCGCTGAAGTACGGCGCCACGGCCGTGGCCATGATTTGTCCCTCGAACCCGGCTTTGCACTGGCATCCATCTGGCACTGAGGTGCCTGCAGAGTTTGCTGGGCAAGCCGCAGCTAAGCATGTCGAAGTGAAGAAGGGGAACTTGCTCGAAGCATTGACCACACCGGAGTAGCCGTCTCTGCAAGTGCAGCCTTTGGCTACATTTGCTCCGAAAGATTGAGGCGGGCAGGGAACAGGCACGCAGGTGGACTCGTAGTATGGAAATTCTGCTGTCGCCTTGACGCTGCCCTGGTGCCCCTCTGGGCATGCGCAGCCCTTGAGCAAGTTCTCACCAACGGTCCCCGAGGGGCATGCCACTGGCGCACAGGATCCCTCAAAGAAAGGTGTGGTATCGGATGCTGCAATATTGCCAGAGGATCCAGCTTTGCAGGTGCAGCCATCCAAAACAGAAGTACCTGTGGTACCGACAGGACAGGGCACCTCAGTGCAAGTGCTCGCATAGAAAGGCGCCGCTTTGATAGCCGTGACTCCACCGGTGTATCCGGCCTTGCACCGGCAGCCAACAGCAACACTGTCACCGTCTGCCTCCGGTGGGCAAGCAACATGTTGACAACCTCCCGTAAAGAAAGGCTGACCCAGCTTGGGCTTAATTGTGCCGTTGAATCCTGGCAAGCACTCGCAGCCCTGCACAACATCCTCGCCCACACTGTTGGAAGGGCAGTTCACTGCCTCACATGTGTCAGAATAGAAGGGATGTCGGTCCAAGGCCGAGATCACACCGTCACGGCCTGCCGAGCACGTGCAACCATCTGGCACATAGCCACCGACGGCATCCTCTGGGCAAGCAACTTTGGCGCAGCTCCCGCGGAAATACGGCGACTCCCTGACTGGCACAATGTTGCCGTGGAAGCCCGCGTTGCACTTGCAGCCCTTGCCGACGTTCTCTCCCGTGGAGTTGGCTGGGCACGCCACCTGGTGTCCGAGGCAAGGCAACATCAACCCAAAATGTCAGATGTTTCTGCGAGAAGCTTCTCAGACAATTCATTGTTGGACAAGCCACCGGTTCGCAGGTTCCCTTGGAATACGGCGCGTCCGCCAGCGCAACAATCTTGCCGTGAAATCCCTGCACAGGGCACGCACAAACCGCCGACACACCCTGATGTGCAGTGCCAAAGCCCGTGAGTGATGCAGGATGCAGTATACCAGGCTGTCTTCGAGTTCCAGTCAATCCCCAAAACAATTATCTTTCGGGTATGGCTTGCTGCAAGCTTCTAGGCTAATCTAGGAAGAAACTGTGGACAAACTACTCCACTCCTGCCTTGTTGCATACACAGCCCAAAACGGTGCTGATGCCGTTGGAGTTCTCTGGGCACTGGACCTCCCGATACGAGCTGCAACCATCACAACGACGACAGGTCGGTGAACCGAAAAAAGTAGACAAAGTCATGGCAAGTGATCACGGTTAGACTGCATGACTCCCTTTCGCTTTTCAAAGCTGCGGAGCGCTTAGAGTTTCTGGCTCGGGCCTGCTCCAAGCAGCACACGGAGTCGCAAGCTTTGGCCGGCGCAGTCTTGGGCAGCTCTGAATACGTCTGCTTCACGTATGGTGCCTGGTCGTCCAAGTCTCCCCTTGTCCCAGCGCATGATGCATGGCTTTTCTGGGAATGCTGTGCACTACTTTGCTGAAAACCCGGGCTTGTACTGCTCGCACAAATCCCCAAACAATCTGCATCGCCGGCCAAGACACGCTGCCAGGCATGCTAGAATCTGTCGCCGGATCCACATCCTCAGGATAGAAAACTGAAACAGCCGCCACTGGGTCCTGCTGAGCTTACCTTCCGTTCAGTTGCTACTTCTGTTGTCTGACTATGTCTGACTCTTCGTGAACTTTGAATTCATTGCTTCAGGAAAATTCCATCGCAATGCTCTGCGGGTAGGTGAGCAATCCCAGGCGCACAGTCATCCAGATGCAAACGCTCGGGCGGCCCCTTCGCGCAGAAGTCAAGAGTCATGTTGGACCTGATTGATAATTCATTCGGCCCACGTCGATCCCGCGACCCTCGCATGTCAGCAATGCTCTGGGCAAGAAAAGCTGAAAGGACCCGGCGTGTCGAACTGCTTCTTGCTGCACGCACTGCTACCGGCAGACCAGGCCGGCTGGCTGTTCGCCTTCATGACCTGTACTGTTCGCTGTGTTGCGGGATTCGGACAGTAGCGAATGTAGCGAGCCTGAAGTTGAAAAGCGAGGGTTTAAGACTGCACCTGAGATGCTGTCAACCTTGCATGGTGACCGCCAAATTGAAGTTTTGCGGGTTTGCCTTTCTTGGCTTTGTCTTTCATCTAAACTGCGAGTTGTGCTATGCCCGGATCAAAGAGGCAAACAAATCCTCCCCAGTTTGGCAAGGCAGTGGGCTCGCCTGAATGACACACTCCAAGTTCTGAACCTCTTTGAGCTGTGCCTGCACGGAACAGCGGGAGGAATGTGCGAGCGCATGCGCGCTTCCGGCACAGCATGTCTGCAAAAGGGATGCTAACACTGTCCCGCTGACAAGTTGAAAGCTGAGACAAACACAGCCGAATCCAAGACCATGCAGGTTTCCAAATGAACATTCGCAGAGGTATGTGCCTTCAGGTTAGCTTGCGTGCCACCCGCGCCACAACTGAGCTTCCTTGGTCTTGATTGTTGAGGTGTCTGGCTTTGAAAACACGCATTCCAAACTTCGATAGAGTAAATAAAGTGAAAAACTGATCTGGCTGCAGCGGGATCGACATATACGAGGCATGGTGACAACATCAAGACTGGGCAGGGAGCAATAAGGCCCTGTTGGCACGGTCCTCAAACCACTTGTGAGCAAAGCCAAGCGTCTGCAGCGTGTGCCAGGCATCTAGACTCTTGTTAAAGCACCTGGCTTCAGTTGCGGCTTGAATCTGGCATGCCGGTGCATGACTAGTGTCTTACACGACACAACGAAGCCACTAAGATTTCGCCTGCCGTAGTCGGTGCAGGTGCCCATTCGCCCGCGCATCTGGTTGCAAGCGAGCGTGTCCATCCTGTCCTGCACTTGCCACTTGCAACTGTTGCTAACCCGAGGCCGACAGATGCATCAGCTGCCGCATCGTGTCTAACACTGCCGGGCAGACTCTGACTTCCATGACATGCCACCAATATGACAGCTCTCGGCCCCTCCCAGGTCTGCCTGCATGTCGTCGCAGTGCTTCGTTTGATTGGCACGAACGGCAGCCAAGACTAGACCTCGTCAACAGCACAAAAAGGTGTCGGCACACAGTCTGTTACGGGTATACAGAACCAAGGTGGGAGCTGTCAGAATCTGGGTTCGTGTTTCTTTTACAGGCATGATCAGATCTGTGAAGCTACACCCACAGCTTCCCCACCAGAAATGCTGCTAGGCATCATTCATTTTCCTTGGCAAGCGCTGCAGCCGTTGCATTCTTGCACTGCTGGTCCGCCTGCAATCAATGATCGGCTCTTCCCGCCGACACGACGCAAATCTGCTCGAAGCTCACAGCTGAATGTCTCAAGGTCTCAAATGGTCTCAAGGTGGTTTCGTCGGGCCTCATCATGGCTCGCAAGCAGCGTGTCCCAGAAAGTCAGTTGCTTGCCAAAGTAATCCTTTGGAGTATCACCTTTGCAGCGACAGATGAAAAAAATGCAGCGCCAGGTTTACGGGCTTACACCACCTAGGGCCAAACGAGGGATATTGCTCTGGAAAGGGGCCGTGCCCTTGTCAATATCGTAGCCCGTTGGACTCAATGGGGCAAGGCGCCGTGGACTTCGCAACCTGCAGCCCAAAAGTTCTGCGGTGCAGGATCTTGTTGTAATTGTCGTTGAAGTTGCTGCAAAGCCTGATTCGCAGGAACACATGTGCAAACCGCTTCGTGGCCCAAGACCCACGGTAGTTGCAGAGTGCGCTGACTGTACCCAGGCACTCTTTCCGCTTCTTGTTCTTGCCGTACAGGTCAGCCTCGAAGGTCGAAATAACATGAGTATGCGCGTGAGAAGTCCGAGGACATCAGCACACAAATATCCGAATGTGGAGCTAGAATCTGCATCAGCCAGAAGGACTTAGAGATCCAGCCTGAACAGTCCACAGCCCTCTAGGTAACCCTGCCTCGCAAATGGTGACCTTGCTGTGCTCGGCAGCCTGCTTCTCACGGCAGGACTTGTGAGCAGAACGGAGCTGTGGCAGATCATCCTGGGCATGCGCAAGTGAGCAACAGCAAAGACCACGTTCGATTCGACACCCTAGTAGCTTACGTATGCTCCGTGTCCGTGTGATGGTAAACCCGCGAGGGAGAAGTTGACATGCCCAGTGAAAGCTTGTAGTCGGACCTGTGAAAAAGTGCTCCTGCAAGACATGCTGACCCGCTCATCCTAACGTTTCATATCTGTTCGGGCCCAGCCTGTCCCGCCCGAAGAAATCCAAATCATCAAGGGCAGCGCAACTTCTGCAGTCTACTTCACACAGGCAGTACAACCCCTCCCCCCGCTCATGTCTAACGTGGCAAACATACATGCCAGACTGTAAAATGCGAGAAGGTGTTGGCTACATCGTGCCGGTACACACGTCACACGATCTTATGTACTTACATGTGCGCGCACCCAAAAAAGTGCATACAAACAGTTACAGTAGCATACGGCGCAAACCCAACTCGAGGAGGAGACGCGAAGGCGGAAGGCAGGAGCTCAACTTGCAATGGAGCAGCTCTGAGGGCGTTTGGTGCTTCCATGTCACCTTTGCGCCGGAGTCAGCTTGCAACATGGCCCTTCGTTTGTACAATGTGGACTTCAAACGGCACACTCCTGACTCCTGACATTCTGGACTTCCTGGCATTGTCGTAAGAGGTGCAGCAACTCTTGAACGAGAACGACATGGAACAACCCAAGCCCTGCCCCTAAATCCTAAATCGCAAAAACTTGTCCTTCCACAAAAAGCAAGCATAAAATATGATAGTCTCAGCCTCTCTTGCGCAGCTGAAGTGCTCAACAGGTCGGCTTTGCACTCCACGGCTGTCGCGTACGCACGCTTCAGCTTCTGAGCCTTATACTGGGGGCTTGGGTAGTAGCAATGCAGCAGAGACTAGTTCTGTTGTTTTCGTAGCAAGGCAAGGCCTGATGCTAGTGGTAGCAATTTCGCTAGTGCACATAGACGTGCACAGCGGCTTATGGCATAAAGACTGTCATGCCATGCCGCCCGCTATCCAATGGTAGCTTGTGTGTATGTGCATTTGCATGTCATGTCGATGATGTGTACGGTGTGCATTGTATGTGTGTATTTGTGCATGAACGCATGCATGCACGCTCGCATGCACGTGTGTATGTATGCATGTACACTTGGTGAAAGTCTATGTGTGTACTTATGTGCAATTACAAATATATATACATACGTGTGTGTGTGTGTGTGTTCTTGTTTCAGCGTATTCTGAACTTCTGGATTACCAACTACGACGTATTTACGATGGCTGGAACTGCCTTGTCACACACTTATCTGTACATGTCTATACATATGTAAATACATCCATATGAATATATGGTCAGGCGTCTGGCGTTCCCGGCCCCC